TCGTGAAAATTAATATTCAAGTAGATTTTGACATGCTAAACAACTTTCAATTAATAAAAGAAGTCGATTTACTTTGATTAAAGTGCTCAAAATACACTCTGAAGTGACAAAACGGGAAAAAATAAAATTCGTAAATGAGTACTATTGTGAAAATCGTAAGTAACTCATCAAGTATTAACTGTACCTTTGTGAAAATTAATATTCAAGTAGATTTTGACATGCTAAACAACTTTCAATTAATATAAGAAGTTGGTTTACTTTGGATAAAGTGCTCATAATACGCTCTGAAGTGACAAAATGAAAAAAATAAAATTCGTGAATGAGTACTGTTGTGAAAATTGTGAATAACTCATCAAGTATTAACTGTACCTTCGTGAAAATTAATATCCAAGTAGATTTTAACTTGCCGAACAACTTACAATTAATATAAGAAGTTGATTTACTTTGGCTAAAGATCTCAAAATACGCTAAGAAGGTAAAAAAATTTGTAACTTAATACTACTGTATTATATAAAAAATGTAAATAATTCCAAAAATATTAACTATACTTTTATGTTCTTAACAGTTTTAAACTTACTAAACTACTTTTAATTAAAAGAATAAGATTTACTTCAGCCAAAATGCTCAAACCATACTTTGAAATATATGTAAAAAAAATATAATATTTGTTTATATTTTAAATTATGAATTACTTAATTTAAATGTATTTATATTTAAGAAAAAAAATATTTTAATTCTATTTTATAAAGTATTTAAAAAGTATTTTAGTAAAGTTTTTGAGGCAAAAAAATAATTATAACTGAAATAAAAAAAAAAATCTAAGTTAATAAATAAATATTAAACCATAATACATAATCACATGTTATATATTAAAATCAGAAATTTTATATTAAAATCGAAAAATCCTATTACAAATAACAAAAATCGGCAATTTCATGTTAAAAATCAGAAATATTATATTAAAATTAGAAATATTTATTAAAATAGGAAATATTATATTAAAATTGCCAAAAAATCAGACAGCCATATTAAAAAGGGCAAAAATCTGATTTTTATTTATTTGACCTGTGTATATCTGTAGAAAATACGTTATAAACGTATGAATTTTAATATACTGTAGAATAATACATATACCGTATCCTTTATTTACAATATTTTTGTGAACCGTATACAAAATACTGATATACAGTAGAAATGATATATGTTATAGACGTATGAATTTAATATAACCGTATCACACAGTATGTTTACCATATACTTTATTGTATTTTTTACTAAACACATTTTGCGAACAGTATACATTATACTGATATGCCGTATGTAAAAATGCGAACTGTATCAAAAATACGTATATACAGTATAAAAACCGTATACATATTTTTTATAGGGCATGTATTGTTGTTACTTCATCGTCAAGAATAGTAATGACATTAGGAGTTGATTCAAAAGATTTTGTTTCGGTATAATCAGCTTCAACTTCATCTTCTTGACTCGGAGTGCATGTTTCAATTGGCTCCTTTTCCTTACCCTGACCACGGTCGTCTAGTTATTAAAATAAATCATAGTACAAAGGAAAATTAGGAAAATATAATGAATTTTAAAAACCAGTAATTAATAAAAATATTTAAAATTATACCTGTTTTAGCTTTTTTCTTTTTGATAGTATTTACAGAAGGTTTGACTGAGCCAACTGGCTGATTCGTTCTACCACGACCATGACCACGATCACGACCACGGCTATTACCACGACCTCGCCTACCACTATTTTTTTCACGATCTTACAATTAAAATAAAAAAATTAAAAAGTAAATAAAAATTTTGCGACAACATTGTAATTGTATATTAAAAAAAAATAAAATTTGCATTAATATTGCAATTTTATATAAAATAATTACTTGCGGTTTCTGTTATTTCATTTGATGCTGTAACTTTTCGCACTTTTTGTACTCTTGTCATTATAAATAACTATTACTGTAGACACGAAATTTGAAATAAATTATTTTTTGTTACTAATTTTATTATTGTGTATGGTAGGTATGGTAGGTAAGAAACAAAGTTTATCGTTATATAAGGGAAAGTTTAAAAGACTATTTAATATTTATTTAAGCTTAATATAAGAAAAGTCTATATCTATTTAGGAAATAATTTAAACTTTAAACTATATGTCAATAAATAAGCTTCTATATATATTTCAATAAATAAACTTTATACATCAATGTCGATAAATAAAATTTTATATTGAAAATAAAAATAAATTTTATGTTAAAAATAAAAATATTGTCTAAGAAAAAGAGTTTTTTACAATTTTTATTTTTGAATTTTTTTTTTTTTGAATTTTTCACTAGTAATAACAATATCAACTCATTGATTAAAAAGCCTTCGCCCTTAAGCAATTATTCATACTGTTGTCCTTAAACAATTGTAATAATCATACTATTTCATTGTTTCACTGATTGATTAAATAACGCCTTCGCCCTTAAACTACTGTTTCACTGATAACGCCTTAATTATAATAAGTCCTTCTCTTACTGTAATACTGATTTAAAACAAAGTCTTGCTCCTATTGTAACACTGATTAAAATAAATCCTTTGTTCTTACATTCCTACCTTAACACTGATCGATTAAAAATAAAACCTTCGTCCTTACACAATTTTGAATTTAAAATATCATCAAAAATAACAGAAGTTTTTTTACAACATATATATTATAAAAATAGTTTAAAACTATAAAGTTGTATATACTAGTGAAACTTTATAAAATAAACTTTGTAAACTTGAAAATGCGAAAAAGCCGTCTTTCGTTAACTAGACCATTCTCTTTGCGAGAAGGTACAAAATTTTCTGGACGTAATATTCTTCCAAGGCATAAGAAGTTAAGTTCGTGTAAGTAAAAATAAATTGGTATAAAAATAGACTTGAGCAACTATTATGTCTAAATTATATGTTTCCAAGTCCATCCGGATTTTTTATTATTCTTTAAAGTCAATATTCAAACAATATATATTAAAATTAAATGATTTTTTAACTGTTTAAAACTTTTGGTAGTACTTACTAGTGTAGATAATAATGAAGGTAATGAAATGGAATTACAAGATGAAATGAACGATAACGTCGATAATAGTGAAGAAAATGAAGAAAATGTCAATAACTACGATGAAGAAACTGATTATAACTCTCACGACGGAAATGAAGAAGAAAATAACTATGAAGAAGAAACTGATTATAACCATCATGACGGAAATAAAGAAGAAAATGATGATAACTACAGAGAAGAAACTGATTATAACTACCATGAAGAAAGTAACTACAGTGAAGAAAATGTTTATTATGATGATAGTAGCAATGTAGAAGACAAGGACGAACTGGAAGATGATTATAATATGGAAGAGGATAATGTTATTGATGAAAGTGATAATGTAACTTTTAATTTATTTGTTTACTCCAAAATAAACTAGATTTAAAGTTGCAGTCACGATCAGACTAGTTCTTACGATCTGAATCAGAATTGATCAATGAACCCATCCCTAATGCCGATGGCATATTTTTTTAATGACAATTTTTCCATTTTAAAAGCATGAAGACACTATAGTTGATTCGTCAATAGGTTGTAACCATATGTTGAATATAGATGGAAGATTTGCACCTTACTTTGAAAATTCGACCTTTGCATTATTATTTTGTTGGATACAGAAACACAACATATGTAAGTCTAATTTTGCTATAATGAACCTATTTGACAATTTATTTAAAAGATTTACACTGATATATAGCAACGCATGCATATAACGACTTGGTAGAAGTACTACACCATCAAAATTTTAAAGTTAAAGATGTTGTAAAGAATATACGAAGGCTCCGACAATGGAGAGATCAGTTACCATTGATGCCAATACGGACGCACCCTGTTAGAATAAATCCAAAAAAGACGCCATCTACGTCTAAAGGAACAAAGTCTTGTTATTATTTGTCAATTTGTGATATTATTCAGAATATATTAAATAATCCGTCACTCTACAATACATTATACTTCGGACCGGGAATAAAATCTGAAGAAAAAAAGGAATATTAGCATGGGGATCTTTGGGCTGAATCACCATTGTTTGGCCAAGAAAAAATAGCCATCAATAGAGGTACTTTCGATTTATTATTATTGTAAATGTATGTAACTTATCTTATACTTTTTTGGTATTTAGAAATTTATCGACCAAGTGAATTTGTTTTATATATAAAAAATGGTAATCGAAGATTTGGATGAATACAATCAATAATATTGGTCAATGATGAACTTCAGGTAAAAATACAACGTATTTATACTTATAACGAATTACAAAATAATTTTCACTCTAATTCTCGATCAATTACGAAGGAATCGCAATTGTGGATGGTAGATCAATATTTAAAAGAAGGTAGTATTATTGCAAATACTTATGAGATCATTAGAAAAGTTAATATTATGATTATTCGTGAAACAAATACTACTGACGGAATTTTTATTAAAGAAATTTTATACAAAAGTAATGGTTATTGGAAAATGCGAAATGTGACGCTAGATTACAAGCATCCAGGCGAATATTTTATTCTAAGTTTACCACCACTACAATATAGGAATCTACGAGTTTTGAAGATATTTATTGATATTTACTATGATGACTTCAGTACCTATCGAAATGTTTACCATTCCTTAGGCGGAGTTTATGTTCAATTGGGAAATATGCCATTCGATATAAGAAAACTTGTTCGCAACCATTTTGTCTTAGGTTTTATTCCCTTCGGTGGTTGTTTTGAGGATTTCATTCGTCCTTTCATTAAAGATATGAAGAGGTTGGAAAAAGGAACATTGATGAACATCTAAGGAATAGATTGCTGGATCATAGCTAGCCTTGGATGCGTTATTGCAGACCTATCCCAAGGAAACGATTTAGCAGGTGTAAAACGCCATGGTGCGATAAGAGGGTGTAGAACATGTCTGGTTACTAACTTTGCTGAAACTCCTAATTTTAAAAAATATTTTTACGATACAGTTATGTAATAGTATGATATAATAATAATAAATAAACTATAAAAATATGATAATTTAAAAAATACTATTTAAATAAAATAAAAAGATGATAGGAAAACAATATAATAACCATAATATGAAAAATAAGAGAAATAATTTTTTTTATTATACTCAAATTACGATATTAATACAATATTTTTATAATATTTTAATATAATAACATCGCAGAAATATTATTAAGGGTAGAGTGTATCACGTGATACTTCATATAGATCGACTTGTCAAATTCCTTATTACATAGTAGCACTATTTTCTGTACAATATAAACTTTTGTAATACTTAACATAAATGGATAAAATTTATATCGTTAGAAAGCCACAATTTTGAACTTTTATTTTTTTAATTAAAAAAACTTCTTTTATAAAAAAAATCTTTAAAAAACACCTAATGAAGTTGCGACTAGGCATATATGTTTTTGCGACTAGGCAATCTTGAATTTTATTGGTTGTTAATATCAGTTGTATATTTAAAATGTAAACAAATGATCAGCAAATCTATAGTAAAATAATTTGCCACCCGCTACATATAAAAAATGATCGATATATACTCTACCCTTAAAATATCACTATTTTTTAATTTTGGCCAATCATTACCAAAAAAAAATTGGCAAAAACATTTATAAGCAATTTAAGAAAAATACTTTCAAACTGCTGTACTAATCATGGGTTTGTTTCAGTTTTTCAGAGTTGAAGCCAGATTTCCTGTAAATTAAAAAAAAAGTTAAATCATTTTTAATATAAAAAAGTTTACAATAATTTTTGAAATTCACTAAGGACCTCGATATCGAAGCTGGAACTAGGAGTACCAAATTTTTTTTAAAAGGGTTGAAAATTTTTTTGAACTTGCCTAGGATTCTAGTAATTCCAAGTCGGAGTTAGTTTTTGCAAAAAAAAAAATAAAAAAGAAATTTCATACTTTATTCGTAGTAAACCCAATAGAAAAGAAAAATCCCAAAGAGCCGCCAAATCTAAAATGTACCAAAAACCAAGAGAAAGAAGACGATGATTAGTAATGAAATCAAAAAGGAAAACAAAAACTACCCTTGTTCTGAAAGGTAGAAAAGAAAAAAAAATAAGAATGAACCTAATCTTAATTTCCAGGAAAAACCGTCAAAATCTGAAAGAAGAGTCATTGAGACCTAAAAAAAGACGATGAATTCAGTAAGAAACTGAATAAAACCAACCTAAGATTAAAAGAAAAAATTGCCATAAATAAACCAACTGTCACTCTGAAAGTATACTCACAAAGCCCTAAAGAAAAGAAAACCGATATTAGTCAACTAATCAGAAAGAACCAAAGATGAAAATTAGATTATAAAACGGATGAAGAAAAATTACCTTTACCTTTCAATAGAACACTCAACAACCAGGACCTAAAGAAACAAAAAATCAGTTAGTACGAACAAAGACAAGAAATGATCAGAGGCGAAAAAAGCTCACCTTTACCTTTCTGGAAGAATCAAAGGAACAAAGAACAAAAAAAGGGTAGTATGAAATAGAGACTAGAAACTAAAAGATGAAAAATAGCTTAGTACTCTTTCTCTTTCCAAAAGAGCCACCAGACAAAGACATACGAAATAGCACTAAACAAAAATGGAATGCAATAATGTAATAAGGTAAAAAAATGAAACTTATTAGCCTTGCGAAAAAGTAAGAATTCGATTAAATTATCGACTTGTAAAGTTAAGCTTTAATAAAAAAGCTTAATTAAATTAAAAATCAAGTATCAATATTTTATTTTTATTTAATTTCCATGTGAACAAAGGGACAAACTATTCGTAAGCCTAAAGTAATTCTAAACTACCAAACCGCCAAATTTGACAGCGCCACCTTGGTGTCAAAAAACAAACCTGTGGAGGGACGCATCTGAACACGTCCCGCCCACTACGCATGAGAGTAAAAGGCTAAGGAAAGAAAAAACCAAAGAAAGAAGAGCGAACAGAAGCATTAAAAAAAAGGAAGTTCAAACATATTCCATCTCTCGTATTATTCTTTCGTCTATTGACGCCACACGTAAATACTGTCAGGTGTGGAATGATGCATTATGTATCAGTCCGATATTGTTTCTGTCTTAATGTTAATCATGGGCTGGAGTGGGTACAGTATCTACCGATTCCGTATGAACGATCACTGATGGTGGTGTTGGATTCATAGTCTGGTGATAGTGTACGTCGTAAGAAGACGGACGGGTTGTTGATGATGTTCCGATCTTTGTCTGAAATGACGAAAGTAATGCCACTGCTTAAAAATCAAGTATCAATTTTAGTAAATAAACTGACCAAATAAGTATTTAACGAAACACGTAACTGCCGAAAGAGTGCATGATCTCTAACAATAACTGATGGAGAAGATATAATAGCTGTGTACTCATCTTTCAGGTTTCACTTCATATGATTGTCTTATTTTCCATAATTGTATGTTGCAACCTTACTTTACATTAACCAATTTTAATCTCAAATGACAGTATCATTTTGATCTTGATCAAAGGATTTGATTATTGCATAATTATTCTTGTTTGTAGTTGGCTTCTTTACTAACAAAAGAACAAGACGAAAAAAAGTGGAAATATGTGTATATGCTTGTGTATAATGAATTAAATAAATAAGAATAGAAACCATTGCACTACTTATGAATCCACCTTAGAAAAGGGCGAACCCTAAACTTCAGCTTCAACAACTAACTTAGATGCTATTAGTACTCAAGCATGGCAACCGGTTTATAGGTAAACTGTGGCAATAAAACCAAACACTACAAAATAAAAGGTTAGTAGAAAAGGGTTAGGGAAAATAATATACATGAGCACTGGTCGCATTTCAGTGTAGTTTTGACTACAAACTTCCGTAGCTCGTCATAGCTCGTCGTAGCTTATCGTAGTTTGTAAAAATGATAAGATCAATTTTTATTTTAATCTCAGTTTATATAAACTGATTATCAATTGGCGTAATTGTATGGTATGTATACTAAATTTGTCTACAGTACACGTATACAATGTCTGATTTCGCTTTGGCTTGCCATATCTCATAGATGATAGATCTATATTTTAGATCTTAATCCAAATACCTAAAAATGCGAACAAAAAATAAAATTCCGCGCAGCAGATCTAGTGCAGGACGATGATTTATGGCATTTCACATAATATCATACAAGTCACAAAATTTTTTGATAAACTATATCGCTACATATTTTTGTTGTACCTCAGATCGATTCTCAGATTGAAATCGTCATGTGAAGTGTGTGATGTGAGATGTGTATAAGAGACAGCCTCAGATCGATTCTCAGATTGAAATCGTCATGTGAAGTGTGTGATGTGGATCATTGATAATCTGAGGTGCTCGGTTTTTTAATCTAAGGCAAATAAATTTTTTTAAAAAAAAATATCTACTATTTTATTAATCTGAAAATAGTGTTATGTAACTACATAAAAATTATTTTGATTATTATGCTTTAATAGGAATGGTTCTTCACGCTAATTAGCTTCTTTGAGGTAAGTTTCAGAAGCTTTTATTTTTATTTTTATTTTTTTCTTTTTTGGAACGGTACTAACCATTTTTTTTTTCTTTTTTTTTTAGCATTTCGGCCTGGACTCTCTCCCGGTAAATAGGTGTGCTATGATGTCTATTATGGTGTTAGTTTCTTTCTCTTAGAACGATACTAACTGTTCTTTTGTCTTTTTTTTAGCATTTTGGCCAGGACTCTCTCCTAGTAAATAGGTGGTGCTATGGTATCTATAGTATTAGTTTTTTCTTCTAGATACTAACCATTCCCTTTTCTTTTTTTAATAGGAATAGATTAATGGTTTTTAGAATAGGTAAATATTTAAGTAAGAAAACATAGGAATATTAGAAAAATGAAAATTCATAATAAGAGGAACGAAAAGTTTAATGTAAAATCTGATATTAAATAATATAAAAATTATGTATAATCCATTAACAAATAAAATCAATGAATTAAGCATATATGAAATTACTTTAAATTCAATTTCTTAATTATTTTTTTCATATAATACATCAGTAATAATGCATTTCTTGACTAATTTATTTTACATATAAGTATCATTTATTTTTGCCACGAACGTCCACTATAACATCTACTGCTACAGTCTCCACCCGCCTTCTTACAGCGACATTTATTACTATTGCATTCACCTTTACAATTACATATACCCCCTGATACTAAACCAGCATTCTGAAGGCATGCAGCTTCTCTAATTGATATTTTGTTAGAGGGAATGACTTCTAATTCAGGAAAAGTTTCTGCTAAAAAAAAAAGACAAAAGAACAGTCAGTACTGTTCTAGGAGAAAGAAACCAACACCATAGACACCACCTATTACCGAGAGAGAGTCCAGGCCGAAATGCTAAAAAAAAAAGGCAAAAGAACAGTCAGTACCGTTCTAGGAGAAAGAAACTAACACCATAGTAGACATCATAGCACACTTATTTACCGGGAGAGAATCCAGGCCGAAATGCTAAAAAAAAAGAAAAAAAAACGGTTAGTACCGTTTCGAAAAGAAAAAAATAAAAATAATAATAAAAGCTTCCAAAACTTATCTCAAAGAAGCTAATTAGCCGTGAAGAACTGTTCCTATTTAAAGCATAATAATTAAAATAATTTTTAGTGTAGTTACTAATGGGTTAAACTAGCACTATTTTTTCAGATTAAGATATTTTTTTTTTTTAAGAAAAAAAGCGAAGCACAAGATTTTGAGAATTAAGAAAAGTTCGAACGAACTTTTCTTTCTTATCCTTGAAGATCTTTAATCACAAGACTTTGAGAATTAAGAAAAGTTCGAATGAACTTTTCTTCCTTATTCTTGAAAATCTTTAATCACAAGATTTTGAGAATTAAGAAAAGTTCGAATGAACTTTTCTTTTCGTATATCACATTGTTTCACCTAGTTGCGATCTGACGATCTGAGGCACAACATATATATGACATATTCACAAAATTTTCTGCAGTATAAATTTTAAGGGGGGCAAGTCATTATCCTATATCGAAAAATCAGTGCAATAAAAGTTCATACACGAGTTAAAGATTATGTATTTCGTGCTGATAATGGATTACTTTTATGTATGTGATCTCAATAGAATGGAAACATAAATTAACAAAAAGCATGCTTCCCAAAAAATTATTTTTGAAACAAAGGAAAAAGCCAAAAGTCAGCAAAAAATACAAACTACTTGCTATAGCATCAAAAAAAGAAGTGATAAAGGATTCGATAGAAGCATTTTCTAATGCAGATATTCCTTTACGAAAGTTAATAGTTTACTTCAGTTTTTTTTAAAAACACCTCAAAGAAGGAGGCGCAATTCCTCAAGCAACAACTTTACGTCAGAATTTTCCCAAATTTTCACATTAAAAACTTTTTTGGCTAAAGTAAAGATTCTTTAATCAAGTCTCTTAAGTCTCTTGCTTGAAAATCTCGATACATAACTCTTTATATATGAACGGCATTAGATCACTGTGTAAAATTCTGTTACCGAATAAAACTTGATGGAACATTACTTATAGCACAAAAACACCAAATTTAATATTTGGAAATATTTTTATTTTTAACAATTACATCTATTTTGTTGTGAAAAAAAATTACCTAAGCAATTTTTTGAGATCTAAAGTGTTTACAATATCATGCTTTTATACAGAATGAACTTTAATTCCTAAGGTAATATGATCTAAAGTTTTTTTGATTTTATCCCCAGGAAGATCAACGTCTGCGCCATCTTTATCTAGTAGTTCATAATCAAGAACGATTTTAAATGATTCTATTACAAATTTTTTAAGTTGTTCTTGATCATCTTTTGACGATTCAAATTCATCTTTTTAAATAGCACGAAGATGCATAAATAAAATGTTTCTCCACGAATCGCCAATGTATTCTTCAACCGTAACCTTTCTATAAATTTGGTTAATATTTTTATTTAATAATAATACAATAATCAATAGTAATTTATTTTGATTCTTACTCTTCATCTTTTATATAAGTATTCACCATTTCTGATATTTTTTTCACATATTTGTGCCTATAGTCTGCCATTTTTAATACGCATTCGTGATGAATATTCTTTGCTGTCTCCTGATGAAGTTTATCCCTCAAATCTGGATAAATTGCACAAATAATCGCATTAAAAACATGCGAATTCGGTTTTCGACACTTTAGAAATAGGAGCTTGAGTTCTTCGATCAAAAGTTTATTATTTATACCCTTTTCTTTCTAAATAATGATAGACTTTTAATTCAAAATAAATTTACATTAAAATGAATTATAAATATTTACTATACCTGAAGAGAAAGAGCTGGCAATTTACAATTTCTAGAATTTCCAGCCGTTACGCTTTTAGATTCCTTAAGAACACTAGCCAGCTTCAATATTGGTGGATGATCCGCAACAAAATCGGCAATTTCAAATTCTGTGTATGATTCTAAATTGTTTCTCCTTTAAAAAAACAAGAGGTATATTCTAATTAGTAAGGGCATTAAAGGTATAAGTGTAACGTAAGATGTGATAAATGTGTCCCAAACAGTAGTTTACTTACATGTTTGGACGATCTGGAATTAATATAGGAATATCATTCGTTATTTTATCGAAATCGAATAAACTTAAATTTTCTTTTCATTTGAAAACACGTTAGTTTTTCATTCTAAATATTCATAGCAAATAGTTTTGTTCTTTTGACAAACCTTGCCCTTGTTGTTCAGGTCCTTCGACTGTCTCTAAATCTATTATGTCAGGAGGAATCTCTTGTATAGATTTTTTTTTCTTAAATCTTGATTCAACGGTATTAGGTAGACTTCTTTTTTTCGGAGCATTCTTTTCTTGTTGAGATTCTTCTATAACAGCAGTTTTTATTTCTGGAGGAATTACCATGACGAATATGTCTTTTTTAGATCTTGCTTCAGGTAAACTTCTGTTTGTTATAGCTAATGCTTGTTCATTTTCTTCTGCGACAGTTTCTAAGTCTGAGGATATTTCCTCTATAGATTTATTTTTCTTAGTTCTTGCTTCATTTGTATTAAATGAACTTCTATTTTTTGTTATAGGTTGTTTTGATCCTTCTGCAACTGTACCACCTAATCCTATAATAAAAGAAAAGAATATTAAGTTATAGTTTATAATTTATTTGAGATATTATTTATTAAGAAATTTATTTAGCTACATACTTTTTGATGTAGCATTTTTAGATTTTTTTTTGGGGGCCATTTTTATTTAGAATATTTAGAAAGAGTGTGGAAATCAGCTTACATTTATATTAATGCAGTAACCGCGTTAACTACGTGAAGAATCTTCTGATCACAAATGAATCAGAATAAAGTACACGCTTGAAATACGAAAAAAAGTTCAAATTCTTTGTCAAAAACTATTTTATGAGGCAATTTTCATCAAATAAAGCAGTGTTCGATCTGACATAATAAATCACACGAGTTTATATTTGTCATTACGAAACAAACTTTACCCCTGACATTTTCAGCGATTGTTATTTATCTAGCTTTTTTTGTTCATGGTAAAGGTCTTGCGGATTGTTAAAAAATTTATTAAGTACGTCACCTGTCTCTTATACACATCTAGATGTGTANTTTTAACGAATTATTGAATTATTATTATTACTACTATTTTATAATTTACATTTTTATCATTTATATGATTTAGCGAAAAAAAATTAAATTGAACCTGGCAGTAAATTTAATTTCTTACAAATGTAGAGATTGTTAAGTATTTGTTTACGAACTTAACAATTTATTTTAATTTGTCAGTGATCTTATGTTGCTATTTTGTAAATCACATTTAAATTGGAATAAAGAAATGAGCAAAAGTTTGTAACCGGTAACTTACATAATGGTAATGTATTGCAATGACAACCAATCTTTAGTATTCTGAGACAATATTCTGGTCAATCATGAACGCGGATCTGTCAGTGAGATATCTCAATTATACTAAAATTTATTGTGTGTGAAAGTTTTTCTCTCCCTTTACTGATTTCATCATAACACTAAATTGAATGTAGCTTCGATAAAAGTCATGGAGAATTTAAATTCAACACAATGCCTTCATCGGATTGAATATTATGGTAATAGCCCGATGAAAACATTTTTTTGCCATGACATAATGTATTTTCTTATATGAAAATTTAGCCAATAAAAACCATCTCCTCTCATCAATTTAGATAAAAAAAATTATTTTATAGCGAAAAAAAATCTTTCAAAATACTTTAAAAATTTTTTTTTTTAAAAAAAAGGAGCTAATAATATTACATATTACATAAGAAAACTTAATTCTTTTAGAAATGATAACCCAAACAAAAAAATATTTTTTTTGTCGTATTACAAACAAAAAATGATACACAAAATAGAAAAATGTATAAGACATGCGTTCCTATCCAATAAAAATGGAATGGGAATCCTAATCTATATCTGCCAGTTGGGAAATACAGATCTTCAACATGTAAAATAAGGAGCAATCAGAAATTTACTTATTGTTGCCAAACCGACAATTATGCCAATTAGACTTTATTTGTTAATGTGATATATTAAAATGGTATATAGAAAATTCACTGGTTGAGATTAGGGGTACAGACTTTTTCTTTTTTTAGCAGTGACGTTACGGCAGTTACGTCGGTAAAGTTTGTTGACAATTTTTGCATGTGAATTGTCAAAGCAAAATAAATCAATCGGTAGATCAGACTAGCCAATTATGGTTTGTGCCGAAAGATAATCTTTTTAGCGTTAATAAACTTAAAAAAAAATTTTTCCTTTAAAAAAATTACTCTCATGGCTTCGTTTTTTAGGTATGTATCAGCTTAGATTTTTGCGCTTTGGATCGGTAAGTTAGCTTCGAAACTTAACTTTTTTAGTAAATTTTTCTTTTGAAAAAACTTTTTAATTTTTATTCATAGATATCGGTTTCAAGGGGGGGAAGTATTTTTAAAAAAATCGTTTTAAACTTTCATTTCCTTTTTTAGATACCGGCTTATTTGGATCAGATCTTGGATTTAGTAAGTTTCGGTTCAGAACTTACAATTTTATTTTAATTTTTTCTTTTTTTTAAATTCCTCTTTTTTTTGTAGGTATCGGTTTCTTCAGCTTTGGGGTATGGCAAGTTTTGATTTGATACTTCGAAACTTACATATTTTCTTTAATTTTTTATTAGTTTTTCACCTTTCTTTTTTTCTGTAGGTACTGGATCTTTTGGCATTGGACTTCAGACGTTGACTTCTTGGACTTCTTTGGTTGGATTTCTCAACATTGAACAGCACTTGGACTTTTTTTTCTGTAGGTCAGCGTCTTGGAATATTTTCTCTTGGAACGATAAGTGTCTTTGGTGGGTATGGTGATGTTAGCATTATTAAATTATACCAACGCCATTTTTCTTATCTAAAAATTTTTTTATTATAGGACCTTCAGAACCAAAGGAACCCCCTGAGAGGTAATTATTAAAAGTAGGAGGGGAGTTTTTTTAAATTGAGAACGCTAGTAAGCTTTATTAACGTTACACTTTCTTTTTTTTTATTGTAGGGCCTACCAGGTACATTGAAACTAATAAAACGGCCCATAGAAAAGAAGGGGAGATGTTTTAAATTGGAAATATTAGTAAATAATACTAATGTATTCTTTTCTTTTGTATGTTTTGGCAGGTTCATTGGATAGATAGTATATGTAGGATTTATCAAATTAGCTTATTGATAGATTGTATTTTAAATTATTGTATTAGAATAATAATAAATATAATATTTGCAATCAATTCAAATCAGCACATTTCTATTAAACAATTAATTACAATCGAAAGATTCTATTAGCAATCAGAAGATACTGGTTATATTTAATTTGACAAATTAAATAGTGGTCAAATTAAATAGTGCCAGGTGTGATTTATTTTTATTATGTAATATTATAATTGGCACATCCGGTTATATTCTGATTTGCACCATTAATTGACCGCCTAACCGGCATCTGATCACCAAATAAGGATGACTATTGGCATCCAATTGGATGCCGATTTGTCAGCATTTGACCTGTGTATATATTTTGATAATCTTAATTCGAAAATTTAGTAAGCATTTCCTTTCTTCAAAATAAATACTAGCAAGATGTTGAAACCTAAAATTAAAATAAAAAACATATTTATATGATAAATTTTGAAGTTAAATACCTTGAAATGCTGCAATCCACATCAGCCAAGATGATATCTACAAAAAAAGGTTTAAATTTCGTTACTTAAAAGAAAAAAAATGTGTCGATCTGCTAAAATTGAGAATATTCAATAAAATTTGAATTTTGTAAGTTTAGGAAAATTATTTTAAATATTGAAATAATAATTAAAAATATTTAATTTTACTACTTAATATTAATAATTTATAGAAATTAACTCTGAACTTTATTTTATATTGCATTATAAAAAAATTCATTTAGTAAGTAAGGTTGTGATAGATTATGATTTCTTACTGAACAGTCATTAACACATTGATGAACAAAATGGACTTTAGGAATAGAAGTTACAAAAGAAATAGGAAAAACATTGTGCCATTTTTTCCTTTCTGTACATATTTTGTATTTTTGACACATCATTAGAGAATCAATACCATTTCTTCCTTCAATTTTTTCAAACCATTTTAAAAAATAAAAAGGGTATGTTTTAGCATTATTATAAGTATGTAAAAAAATGGCTTGTACTATTGCATATGAATTCCCTTCTAATTACTCTTCAAGTTCTACTACATTTCCAACACTTATTCGTATTATTGATGATTAACCATCTTGGTTTAATACCTTATATGAAATATAATTAAAATAAATAATTTTGGTATTATGAAGATATTCTGTAAAGTTAAAGTATTCTTTATAAGCTGTTTTAAGACCATAGTAAATATAACCATTAATTGATATATTTGTTTCAAAATTATTTTGCAAAATCTTATATTGTTTCCATTTAGCTTGTAGCAGAATTTCATAAATAGAATAATCTGGGGATTCAACTGCTTCATTAATTGCTATATAATAAAATTTTTTAATAAGTGAAAATTAAAATTAAAATCAGTTAAATAAATTAATAATAAAACATACCTATTTTTTCAGTATTAGAAATAGTTGCTGATGTAGCAAACCAAGAAGAAAGCAATAATCTAAAAATATTGTCTTGAAAATAACCATTTCCCAAAAAATTATTATAATGAGAATCCAAAGTACCATCTATGATATTACGTAATGCCTGTAAAGTATTATATCTTTTTATTAGATCCTTTTCTATCATTTTTCCATTTGTATGTGAAACAGTATTTTTAAATATTTTATGAACCATTTCTTTAACTCCAACAGCACTATTTACTAATGTAGCAAATGTTTTAGCATGATGTTGTAAATGACCATTAATATGTAAATTAGGAAGATTAGTAAAATCTTGAGGAAAAATCTATAAAATTAATAAAATAATACTCTAATTAATATTATATAATAATTAATAATATTATTTAATTTTAATTAATACCTTTGTAAGTAAAATTGCTTCTTGGTTTAATAAATCATTCAAAATTTTATATGATTCATTATTAAAAAATAAACTAAAACAAAGTTTAGCACATTTTGCTACTACTACCCAACATTGAATTAATTTATCTATAATTCTATTTGTATTAACAGATAGATTTTCTTGTAATTCAATAAGTGAATTGTTTTTTAAATGTTTAATTTGTAAATATTGTCAAAGAATATGTGGTAAAACCATAGCTAAACGCAATCTATCTGACATCATAAAACTTTGTCTATGTGTAATTGGATTTGGTAATTTATGCCATTGTATAGGCATTTCAAATAACTTCCAATTTTTAATAAATTCATTATTTCCATTTGAATTAAACATATTAAATGTACAATCCATTAATTTTAATATTTTACCAGCAATAGCGTGATAGATATCTTGGGGTGATTGAAGAAGTCGATCACGTATTAAATTATCTAATATTGGTTTCTGATTTCTTAACCCAAATTTTGAACATAAATTCCTTTGAATTGTTAATGAATCTGAATTTAATATAAGGTCAAATTCATCATCCATTAAATGATGATATCGCAATTCTTTAGATATATCATCAAAAGATTTTAAAGAATTATGATTTTCAATTTTACAAGAAAGACAGCCTCTTTTAGCATTATGTCTCATAACTCCTACTAAATCATTTCCCTGTAGAAGGTCTGCAGTAACAATACCAAGACCTGCTATTACCAATATATTTTTACCTTGAATATTAAAAACTTTTCCTTTTTCTAATTCTTTTAATTCTTGTAAAAATGGACTAATAAATTCTTTAAAGTTTCCACCAAAAGGAACAAATCCTATAATAAAATGATTTTTTAAAAGTTTTCTCATTGAAAATGGCATATTGCCAATTTGTATGTAAAAACCACCTAATGAATGATATAAATTTAGAAAAGTGCCAAAATCATCATAATAAAGATCTATAAATATTTTCCACATTGGTAAATTATGTGGATTTTGAGGAAAAGGACAATATTCTGATGGATGTCTAAATCTATAACATATATTTCTGATTTTCCATTTGTTTTGATAATTATATAAAATTTCAGCAACAATATATGTATAATAATTAGGCTCTTCTTGATCTTGTAACCATACTAATGTTTTACCAACTATAACTTCAGGTTCAACTATTATAGGTTTATCTTCTAATAACCATCTTTTATTACTACTATTAGAATAACGATCAGCTGTTTGATATTGAGCTGGAAGTTCATCAAAAGTTAAAAATCTCTGCAATTTTAACTTTAATCTACTGTTATGTAGAATTATAGACGTTATTCTAATACAATTTAATTGATTTGATGCCATAATATGAACAAAGTCTCCTGTAAAATATTCAACTAAATAAACAAATAATAATATATTTTAGTTAAATAATATTAATATAATTTATAATTAATGAATACCAAATATTTAAAAAAATACCTGAATTTATCATAATATTATGTTCACCATGCCAAAATTCACTTTTATTCTCTACTTCAATTCCTGGACCATTATACATTTTAGAAATTAAAAGTGGGTTAGATAAAGTTTTTTTTATGATATCAAATAATGATATTGCATATGCCTCTCTAAAAGGCTGAGAAGTAGATTGTGTTTTCATGTTAGATATGGGTATAGTGTATTTCTTGACTGTTAACAATGGTAATCTAGCTCGACTATTTTTTTTAAAGTATCTAATATTCGTAGGAACTTCTTTGACATCAAAATTTGGGTGGTTTAAAATTTTAACCAAGTCTTCATACGCATTTGTTGCTAACAATAAAACGTTTTAAAATATTAAATAATATCTTAGACAAAATATTAATTTATTAATTAATTTTACTTACTTATCATATGTTTAGTAATCCAAGCAAATATTGAGGCAGAAGTACTTAATGAAAAATAAGGTCCAAATTCACCATCAAAAGGAGAATTTGGTAATGTATTATTTTCAAGTATATTTTCAGAACCTTCAAAATTTTTGTGTTCAACTTCATTATCACTAACAACATCATTATTTTCATCATCACTATCAACATAATCATTTTCATCATCACTTTCGTCATCATCACTTTCGATATAATTATTTTCATCATCACTATCATCACTTTCATTGTCGCTATCAACATAATTATTTTCATCATCACTATCAACATAATTATTTTCGTTCTCACTATCAACATAATCAGTTTCATTATATTCAGTGTAATGTTCAAATCCACTCTCATTTGCATCGTCATTATTATCTGAACATTTAAAGAAAGTTATTTTTAATTCAAGATATAATATTTTAAATTATTTAAATTCGTTACCTTTTAATTCAGTAGCTACATCATTAATTGTATTGTCTATATTAGTTACATTATTACGAACTTGTTCTTTTCATTGTCGTAAATTTAAGCTTCTATTCTTGCTTTTACTGCTTCTTCTTAAAGGCATACTAAATTTAAAAATAAAGGTAATTTTTTTTTTATCAATTTAAAAATAAAAGTAAATTTTTTTTTTTTATCGTAAAAAAAAAGATCAATAAAAGCCATTGATTGGCCAGCAAAAATATCGATCTCACTCATGAAGACGATCTTTTATATTTCTGTATTTATGACATACGCGAAAAAATCACGAAAGTTTTTAACCACTATAATAAAATATTCTAATAAATAATACAATTGCTAACACTACACTAAAGACTAATTATTCAAATCTTACACTTTTGTATGATTTACTTCAATCATCTGCTCGTGATATTGATTTAATTAAAAAAGACGATGAAGAGGAGTATAAGCACCTCCTCCGAACGACTATTGTAAGCTCTAATACCTGTAAAGACTTCCCACTGATTACAAAGGAAAAGCAAGAGATTGTGGGAAATATACGAAAAGAACAAATAGGTCTAGATACGGTGAGAATTTATATTGATTTATTTCTTTGAGTGAACGTTTACTAATGAACGATATTAATTTGTA